TTAACAATGATAGAGATGATGAAATCACAGAGACTTCAATGGGAGTCTGTTTTGGTTCTCTACTGCTGCATGAAAACTACCCTAAAACTTAGTAGCTTAAATCATTATATTTTGCTTACAATTTTGTGTTTCAGAATTTGGCTAGCTTGTCTCTGATCCATGTGATGTCAGCTGGGTTGGTCTGGGAGATCTTCATCCTAGTTATCCCCTTCACTCACATATCTCATATATCTGTGGTCCTTGGTATATTGCTCTCTCTCTACACACACACACAGTATCTCATCCCCTAGGACCTCTACACATGGCTTAGCCTTTTCCTAGCATGTCTGTATCAGGGTATTCAACATTCTTCCATGGCAATTTAGGGCTCTATAAGACCACTACAGAAGCTGTCAGGGCCCTTAAAGGCAAGGTCTGGAACTGATATAGAAACACTTCATCATACTTGATTATATTTCAAAGACATCGCAGTTCAGCCTGAACTCAAGGGAAGGGCAAACAAACTCTCTACATGAAGAGTGAAAAAATATGACCCTGCAGGGAATATAAAAATGTGTTTATTTTTGGAAATCTTCAATTAATGTGATATTTTATGTTATAAATTTAAGGGAAGAAGGCATAACTAAGAAAAATAGTCTTCTGCTTTGAATTGCCTGCTTTACAACGTATGAAAATGTTCATGGCGGGTAATGATTGCCCTGGTTTAAATTGTTCCTAAAGAACATTATTTATACTTTCATCACATTTCTTAGAGGAAGGCTTGAACTGTTGTAGGTAAAATAGGCAAGGGTTGCACCCTTCCATCTATGAGGGGAGAAGAGAGGAACCCAAATGCCAGACGAAACAAGAAGTTGGTCACAGAGACCAGAGTGAGTGTAAATTGTGGAACTGATCAGAGGAGCAATTGTCTGAAGACAGAAAGAGATCTTCTAGGGCAGAGAAGAGAGTTGAGAAGCAAGTATAAGTGGAGAGCAGGCCAGGAAAGCTGGGTCTATCCACAGCAGAGAGTGAAGACTCATCACAGGGACAAAAGCTCATGGATCAGACTCTCATCTCCAGGGGCCCCAGCTCTGAAGAATTATAATACAGAGAAGAAAACTAGGAGAGGAACCCTGAAACACCAGAACTGAATACCCATGGTGTTAGCAATGAACATGGTGAGGAGCAGGTAAATTCCAGAGATGTGTGGAAGGTTAAGCCAAGACATTTTGCTGAGGATTAACATAGGGTAAGAGAGAAAAAGAGGAGTCAAGGGTGACTTCAAATTTTTTGCACAAACAACTGGAAAGTCTGTAGGTAGAGCAGGTTTTCATGGCAAATCAGGAGCTCAATTTCTACTATTCGAAGTTTGACTTGCCTATTGCACATCCAAGTAGATGTAAGAAGGCAGTTGAACATAAATGTTGAGTTCAAGAGGGAAAAGCAACATCGAGGTATAAATCAGGGGGCCATCAGAAAATAAATTCCAAAGAGTTAGAAGACAAAATTACCAGATATAAAGAAAGCCACCAGCAAGGTATAAAAATTCTAAATTTGTCCTAAATTTATACCTAAAAAATTATCATCAAAAACATATAAAACAAAAATTGATGAAACTAAAAGTAGTAATATACAAATCCAAAATTATAGTTTGAGATTCTAATGTACTTCTCTCAGTAGTGACAGAGCAAGACAGCAAAAAAAAAAAAATCAGGAAGCATACAGAAGTATTTCAACAATACTATTGGCAAATTTGATCGGCTTGGCATCTAACAAGGAGGGGACTAAGTGAAATATATAGAGATACTACAAAAAGGTAATCATTCGCTCTGAAAAATGTAAATTTGCCTAAACATCAAGTAAGGAATTGGCAGTCCAGAGATTAGCTATAGTAGATAACCAATATGAACGCCAAGACTTGAGAGGTAAGTGAGGATGAAGTCACATAACTACTGGGGCAACTAGTAGAAATTGGATCCTCAGCACATCTATCCAGTGACAGCTGGAGTCATAGAAGAGTTGTTGCCTGAGGCAGAGGAGGGATGAGAAGTACTCCAACTTTTTTCTCCCTTCCACCCTCCAGTTTCTCACCAGTACCACTTGAAAACTGACAGACAAGGTGGTACCTGGGAAATGGAACCTGAAGAGACCATTCCTTCTGCAGTATGGGACAGCACAGATAAGTGCTCAGAACGGATGTGAGAGAAAACAAGCAAATGACTGCTATATCACATCCAGCACTTTGTACTTCATTGGAAGGACAATGGGGAATTGTTGAAGAGTTTTAAGCAGGAAGTCATAAAGTGATTGGCATTTTTAAAATATCACCCAATCTGCAGTGTAAAAATTGCACTGGAGAGAGAGAGATGGTTGTGATGGTTAATTTTATGTGTCAACTTTGCTGAGCTGTGGGATGCCAGCATAGCTAGGAAACACTATTTCTGGGTGTTTCTGTGTTTTTCCAAAAGAGATTAGCTTCTGATAAACAATAGACTGAGTAAAGAAGATTCACCCTCCTGAATGTGGGTGGACAACATCCAATCATTTGAGGAAATAAAATTGGACAAAAAGGCAGAGGAAAAGCAAATTTGCTTGCTTTCTTCTTGAACTGGGACATCTGTCTTCTCCTGGCCTCAGACATCAGAGGTCCTGGTACGTGAACCTTCAGACTCTGGGACTTAGGCCAGTGGCGTCCCTGTTTCTTAGGCCTTTGAACTCAGATGGGATTACAGCACCAGCTTTCCTGGTTTCCCAGCTTTCAGATGGCATATCACAGGACTTCTCAGCCTCCATAATCATGTGAGCCAATTCCCATGATAAATCTCCTCTTATATAAATCTCCTCTTATATAAATCTCCTCTATATATCCTATTGGTTCTGCTTCTAGAGAACCCTGACTGATACAATGGTCATGAGAATAACAGTTATGAGATCATTGTCTTAGTCTAGGCAGAGATTATTGTGAACTACACCAAAGCTGTGGTAGAAGAGTGAACCAATTTAAAACAGATGTAAAAGTTAGGCTTGTGAGGACAGAAAACTGATTCTAAGTGAGGAAGAAGTCAAGGATGACCCCCAGGTTTCTATCTGGAACAACAGGGGGAAATGTAGGGGTCATTTTCTGAGATAGAAAAAACAAAAGCAGAAATACATTAATAAGGAAGATGATAAATTCAGCTTCAATACTTGCAAGTCATCAAAATGGTGGGATCTGATGGGCAACTGATTATCTGGGCCCGGGGTTCAGAAGGAGGATCTGAGTGGGGATACACATCTAGAAGTCATCAGCATATACCTGATCTCTGAACCCAAGGTGGGTAAAATCACCTTGGAAGAACATATACAGTCAGAAGGGGGCCCAAATTTGGAGAAACTCCAATATTTAAAAGATAAAGAAGAAAAAAATCAGAAGTCAAAGAATATTTCAGAAGAAATTAAAGAGAATGCAATGCCAAGAGTGTCTCAGAAAGAAGGTGTGTTTTACATGTAAAATATCGTTGAGAAATCAAGAAGATTAGAGCTAAGATATGACTTTAGTGAGTTTGTTTCTCTAGGGGTTGAGCAGAAACTGGGTTAGATTGTGAGATCAGGAAATAATAGCATCAAGTATGGACAACTCAGTATAAGAAGTTTGATTGGGAAAGGGAAGTGCCAAATAAAACAGCAGTTAGGGGTGGGTTTCACTGGACCATAGGAAGCGTTATAAATTTTTTAGCAAGAGAATGAATGACACAGTCTATGAGAATACATGGGGCAGCAAATATGTACTCATACCCCCAAGTTTCATTGCTCTTGGTGCCCACTGCTTTGACTTATAGGAAATGTAGACATTAGAAGATTCTCCTTCCCCAAGTATCTCCCAGGGTGCTAAAATGAACCCACCCTGGTCATTGCTTGCTACTACCCCTATTACAAGTGCTCATTCAAAGCCAACCTGCTATTCCCAAAAGGTTTAAGCTGGTGCCATTTAAATCCTCTTGCTCCCACCAGCTGGTCTTGGCTGTTTTGAGGGTTGCAGCTGCCAACAGTGCTGCCAGATAAGCACCCGTGTCACTGTTGTGGGTGCCAGCAAGGATAGGACTTCAGAGCCCCCCCAGGACAGGGACCAGGTTAAATTACCCATTTGTGCTGGCTCCCATGTAGTCATCTGCTGATATACCCAGGCAGACACTCTCCTACAAAGCAAGAACCACTATGAACGTTTGAGTGTGTGTATGTATATTCATGTGTGTGTGTGTGAGAGAGAAAGAGAGACAGACAGACAGACAGAGAGACAGAGAAGTTTATGGATAATATCTGCCAGTCATGTGCTCTCTTTTGGCAGAAAGTTCAGTATGTATTCTAACTCATTTAAGTCTCACAACAATCCTCTGATTATTATCATCCCTATTTTATAGCTTAGGAAATTGCGACGTGGAAAAGTGATGTAATTTCAGTAAGGTCACAAATCTAAGAGGTGGGGGCAGGGTACACATGCAGGCAAGTCCGGCTGCAGATGCCACGCTCATACTCCATATTGCCATTTTGACTCTGTGCTAAGGGTGCCTCTACAAGCCAGCAGACTCCTCTTTCCCTTGTAGTGTTCTCCTCTCACCCTTTTCTGAAATTTAGCCACAGATTCCACCCCGGTTCATCAGAAATATTTTTACAGCTGGTTTGATATTGGAGAGGAAATGGTCTCAGTCCCTGGTTGCACTCCTAGGCAAATTAGTGGGTGTCTATCCTGTAGACTGTAGAAGGGGAGAGGACTACTTTTAAGCCCCAGATCAGCCAGACTGAGTATATCCAGGATTCAAAGTCGCCTGTCATCTCAGTGCTCCTACCACTTAACACAGCACTCCTACTGAATCAAATGTCCTCTTAGCCAAATATTGATCTGACCAAGGTGTGTTGGATGAATTGGAGTCTCCCTCCTCGCCCATGTAAGAGGATCGCTACTGTGCCTGCTATTTTGCCTGCTAATGGAGCAGAAAATTTTAGGCCCACGGTAATCAGGTTATGTTTACTTTTTCTCCTTACAGAGACATTTCAAGAACCAGTATCCATTCCCTGCCTAGCTGTGGCTTAGAAAATCTTAGGAAGCTGCGGGCCAGGTCGGCTTACAACTTAAAAAAGCTTCCCAGTCTGGAAAAGTTTGCTGCACTCGTGGAGGCCAGCCTCACATACCCCAGCCACTGCTGTGCCTTTGCTAACTGGAAACGTCAAATGTGAGTCTCTCGTGTCCATCTCTTGGATCCTGCTTTGGATTTCTCCAATGCAGAAAGTAGTTCACAACTTGTACATGTCTGTGGCATTAAGAGAATCTACTGGCAGAGAGATCATCCTGATGAAAGCCCTCAGGCACATTCTAGATCAAAGCTTCAGTATTGTAGAGCATTTCCAACATTTTTGAAAATGGGCTCACAGAAGAAGGCTGCTCACATGGTAGACTACCTACCAAACATTAAATGAGACAACATGGAAAACACCAAGCATAGTGCTTAACTCATAGCTGATGTTAAATTAATATTTGCTCCCTTTTTCCTCTGTACCAATATGGATTTATCCTTCAAGTAGCAAACTCTGTACTCCATAAGTGTCCCAGAGACCACTCAAGCCAACTTTGGAGGGAAGAAGCACAAACGCCATTCCAGAGACTGCTGCACTCATCCACAATACATCCCAGCCACCCTAAGCCTCTGTCACCTCTCCTCAGATTTTAGCACATCACAGGGTAGACAAAGTTTAGGACATCTGTTCACTTTGGCTTTCCAGGTTGGTCAGATTAAAGAAGGTAATCCAAACAGAGCCACACCCCAGTAGATAACTGGTTAAAATTTGAGATAATCATAGACAGGATCTGGAGCAAGTAAAGAGGGTATACTTGAGACTGCACATACTCCAGACATTGAAAAGACCAAGTAGAGATAGAATTATTGGGTATCAGGAGCTCTCAAAGCTCTCACCTGCCTCTGAATGGATACAATCCACGCCATGCACTGCACTCAGTCACGTGATGCCTTGCCACCACTCTAGTACAATATTCCAGCACTGGTAGAGCTTCCTGGTGATATCTTTTCACTGTTTAACACAAACTCCTCTACTATTCAGCCTTTAACATACATTGACCTGCTCATGTAGACATATGCCCTGCTCAATATCAAATAAAACAAAACAACAAACAAAACATCCGAAAATGACTTTAAAGTAACGAGGAATTCACCCTCAGACCCATTTGATAGATATTCAGAAAAGGGGCTACTTTTCAGAATTTGCCTGTGTCACTAGGAAACTAGCCAGAATTAAACACTCCTCACCAATTAGCTCAAGGGCTGGAGAATTTCCTCCTAAGGACTAAAATTCTTAAGGACTTGGAATGAGGCAGAGGGCTTGCCACTTTTATATGCCACACAAGAGTTACTCCAGCCAGGCCAAGAAATATACCAGTTCACTGCCAAAACCCTGGAACCGAACACCCCTCAGGAAAATCTCAAAGGAGACTGAGATCACCGTTAAGAGCTGTGCGTGGTGTGCTGGCAACACACCACGAGAATGTATGTTATCTTACTGTGTTGCTCCCACTCTTGTGACCTGGCCATGCCCTACAGTGTGGATGTATCCTCAGGGCCTTCCCAGCCACAAATCTCCAGGTCTGCTTACATTGCCCCCTGACTCGAAGCCTTCCCGATCCCTCCAGACCACTCAGCTCTCACCCACTCTAGGTCTCAACAGTAGCTTACCATAAGGGCCCATCAGGTGCAGCAAAGGAGAGGCCCGTGCCTCTCCTAAGAAGACATGCCAAAATGAACTGAAATTGCCATGGGTGTTTACTCATTAATTGAACAAATGTACACATACAAACACAAAACAAAATAATTATACTATTCAGAAGATAATCATGGAATTTTTTAAAAGGTGTCATTTCCTTGTATACCATACTCGGTGTGGTTTAGATTCAAGTTCAAAGCTATGTGATGAAATCATTTTTCCAACCCTCATTTGTAAGTGCCCAAAGTGTAAATGTTAGGCCCCTGTGACTGTGAACTTTTGGCCAGTGGCCCTCCTGGCCTCTCAGCAAAAGACCTTGTTACCCACACTCCTCAACTGTCAGGGAACCAGTCATTTCCTTGTCCTAGCTCTTGCCAATGCAAGAATTGTCAGCTTGCATTGTTATTTTGTTCATTGTATTACTTAATTTTCTTGTATCTAGACCTTTTCTTCACTGCTAGATTTTAAACTGACATCCATGACATATGCATCTAAGTGCCCTCACAGGGCCTAGGCCCCAACATGAGCTTAATAAGTAACCACCGTCATCTGCCTCCTCATGGCTGACATTTGCTGAGTGCTCGAGGCCAGGCACTGCAAGAATTTGCATCTTTATCTCATTTAATTCTCACAAAGCTAATAGTGTTATTTTTATTCCTTTCTCACAGAGACAAAAACTGAAGCTCAGAGACAGTAAATTATCTGACCAACATCAACCAAACTCAGATCCAAACTCTCTAGTCTATTGGCCTCCAAAGCTCAGGCTCTGGGCCGCTCCACTCTGCACTTCCCGAGTCTCTGCTCACTGGTTCATCAGGGTCCAAGACAACCACTTTCTTAACTGACCCTCAACTGAATTCCTAGCTCTTTACGATCCTTAGTATTTGCAAAGGTACTGCAGGGGCAAGATTTTACTTCCCTTGTTTCCACCTTTGTTTCTGTTCTTTTCTCAGAGACATATATTACTTACCTTTTCCACACCCATGTTGTTGGGTCACTTCTCTTTCAGAAAAGCAAAGCATCAATATTTAAAATATATTGGTAGTGGTATCAACAGTAAGAATCTTCACGGAAACCAACATAAGCCCTGGGGAGTGAAGGCCATCTGCAGGTGGTTAAGCCAGATTTGTTCCAATGAATGGAATCGCGGTCTGCAGGCACCAGGCTACTTACTTCCTGGCCCTAGATTGAGCAGTCACTGCTCCAGTGACAGGGATTAGGAGTCAGAATTAGAATAAGCACCAAAGAATAGAATATTCTCTTGTCCCCCCTACACCCATCTCTGAGCTTGCCTCACCTTTCTTGTAAGATCTCTAACACAAAAGATTTTCTTTGAATTTTCAATTACATGTATGTTAAGTCTTCAGCCCCCTTTAGTGCACCCATGGCAGATGTGAGAAGCCCTGTCCCTCTCTAAAACAAAAGATGGAACATTCTACAACCAAACAAAAAGAGTCCTTTGGCCCAAGAGAATACGACTTCCCAGCAATTCAGTTCATTTCTCAGAGGGAGAGAAGGGAGGAAAGAGTTCTCCCTAACAACCACTTCTCGTAAAGGTGAATGGGAAAAGTTCAGTCCATGCAGGTTCAGCCACTTGGCCAGCTCTTATCCTTGAGTATCAAATGTTGTCTTTACCTCCTTCACTCCTTCAGCCACTCTCTCCTTCTTACGAGGGGATCTTTGAGGAGTTTTAACACTCACTTCATACTCACATATGAGATTGTGTTAAGTTTGCAAGAAAAGTAGTTACTACATTGCTGTGAGCTTGTCTCCCAGGGAGGGTGGGACTTGGGGGTCAGGGGAGGGGGGACGGGAGGTTGCATGTGTGAAAGAGGGAAAGAGAGAGAGAGAGATTTTTTCCATCCCAAAAGAGACACAGAGTAAAACATCCCAATTCCTTTGAAGCCTTTGCTTCAAAACAGAACTATTACCCTCTCTGTCTCTACATGCACTACTCACCTGTGTGGGTAGAATATTTATGATCTGGCTGTTCAAATCCCTTCTGAAAGTGCCCTTATTCTGTTGACAAGGCCTCCTGTACATTTGAGTCTAAAAGGAAAACTAAGACAGAAAAGTGAGCCCAAGAAGAGCCAGCTCCCCAGGAGATGACTTACAATCTCAGAATAAATTAGGCCCCCTTGCAACCTTCATTTGCTCTTTTGGGCACTCACTAGGGTACTATTTAACATGAGACAGCCAGGTTTACTCTGCAGACAAATGTATGCCTGAAGACTATTGTGGCCCCTGGAGAGTGAAATAATAAATAGGACCCTCAGTAACATTTCAAGCAAATTAGCAGATCTCCCAGTAGCCTAGGTACCAAAAGCCAGAGGCAGGAGCTGGCTGGGAACTAACTACAGACTAATTTCCAATTTATGTAAATAAAAGAAGCAAGTAAGTTCTCATTTGAATCAGAAAACTGTCCAGATTTTCCAGCGACTTAGGAACTGGGTACAGGACTGGGGATAGATCCTATCCAAGCATATTAAGAGATATTTGAATGGAGATGGGGGAGGGAAAGGGTGGAGTTGATATCAGGTCTGTAAATTATTTGCACTTAACAGTGAAGGCTTAGCTAGTCCCAGGCGCCTTCCTCCCCACATTCAGGTTGTGGCCAGATGGTTTCCCCAGTGGGCCATCCAACGCTAGGAAATAAATACACAAGTTGTTCTGTTCATTTACAGTAAGCAGCATTAACCCTTGATCTTAGCCTCAAGGGCAGACAAACTGGTAGAAGGGGGAGGTGAAAATCTTAGGAAGAAACCCCATCATTTCTGCCCTGTGCAAAGAAAGTGATATATTTGCCATTCTGGATCCAGGATGTTGATTCTATTCCTTTTTGTATTTCCCTAGCTCTGAGCTTCATCCAATTTGCAACAAATCTATTATAAGGCGAGAAGTTGATGATACAACTCAGGCTAGGGGTCAGAGAGTCTCTTTGGCAGACGGCGATGAATCTAGTTACGCCAAAGGATTTGACATGATGTACGACGAATTTGACTATGGCTTATGCAATGAAGTGGTTGACGTGACTTGTTCCCCTAAGCCAGATGCCTTCAATCCATGTGAAGATATCATGGGGCATGATATTCTCAGAATCTTGATATGGTTTATTAGCACTCTAGCCATCACTGGGAACATCACAGTGCTGGTGATTCTGATTACCAGCCAATACAAACTCACAGTCCCTCGGTTCCTTATGTGCAACCTGGCCTTTGCTGATCTCTGCACTGGAATCTATCTGCTGCTCATAGCATCTGTTGATATCCACACCAAAAGCCAGTACCACAACTATGCCATTGACTGGCAGACAGGGGCAGGCTGTGATGCTGCTGGCTTTTTCACTGTCTTTGCCAGTGAGCTCTCAGTCTATACTCTAACAGCCATCACTCTGGAAAGGTGGCACACCATCACCCATGCCATGCAGCTAGAATGCAGGGTGCAGCTCCGCCATGCTGGCAGTGTCATGCTGGTAGGCTGGATCTTCGCTTTTGCAGTTGCCCTCTTGCCCATCTTTGGTATTAGCAGCTACATGAAGGTGAGCATCTGCCTTCCCATGGATATTGACAGCCCCTTGTCACAGCTGTATGTCATGTCCCTCCTTGTGCTTAATGTCCTGGCCTTTGTGGTTATCTGTGCCTGCTACACTCACATCTTCCTCACAGTGAGGAATCCCAACATCGTGTCTTCCTCTAGTGATACCAAAATCGCCAAGCGCATGGCTGTGCTCATCTTCACGGACTTCCTCTGTATGGCCCCCATCTCCTTCTTTGCCATCTCTGCCTCCCTCAAGGTGCCCCTTATCAGTGTGTCCAAGTCAAAGATCCTCCTGGTCATGTTCTACCCCATCAACTCCTGCGCAAACCCCTTCCTCTATGCCATCTTCACCAAGAACTTCCGCAGGGATTTCTTCATTCTGCTGAGCAAGTTTGGCTGCTGTGAAATGCAAGCCCAGATTTATAGGACAGAAATCTCGTCCAGTTTCCACAACTCCCATCCAAGGAATGGCCGCTGCCCTCCAGTTCCCAGGGGTACCAATGGTTCCAATTACACACTTGTCCCTCTAAGCCATTTAGCCCAGAAATAAAACAATGTGCAAATATATCCAAGTGTTGAATGATAATTAAGTTTTGCCTTAAAAAACACGCCATGACACACCTGACAGAGTGCTTCTATGTACTCCATCTAACTTAATTTTCTTCACTTACCTATATGGTAAGTTGGTCAGGAACTGTTAACTTCATGTGATATATTAGGAAACTGGAGTATTAATACCAACATTAATAATTAAAATAATGCAATACTACAAAATCACACTTATTTTATACTTTATAAGGTTCACAGCATTTTTGTTCAAATCACCTCAACTGATCCCTATAAAAGTCCTATTGAATAAGCACAACAGGAATTATTCTTGGAGTTTTTCAGAAGAGGAAACCAAGACTCAAAGGGTTAAGTGACTGTTTAAAATTGCTTGGTTTGTAAGAGGTAGAGCCAGGATTAAGTGTTTTGACAACCAGAGAACTTCTTAGAGAAGCAGCACAATATTCATTCACTCATTTATTTATTTGACAAATATTTATTGAGTACCTACATGATGGCTTTGTAATGTAGCAACTTGGGTAGGGTGAGCTATATTTCCCAGAATTCCTTTTCTTATGTTTCCTATTAGGGTGGGCCATAGGGAAGATTCTTGGAAAAACAGGAGGGTAGCAAGGAAGCCGTAGCCATTTGGTCATTCATACAGTTTATTGCTGATCTGCTGATTCAGCTCATTGCTATGAAGCAGCAGCTGGGCCTGCAGTTGCTCTACCTTCTCCTGGATCCTACTTCAGGTTTCTCTGACTCCCAGACCAGGTCTGTGTATTTAGCTCTATGATGAAGGACCCCAGATTCTGCAGAATGCTTTCATCATCAAGGTCAGAGGCAATAAGAAAATGTGGCTTGGTTTGACCTTGTGAGGTTTCATCTCATGCTTATAACCTCCCACAATACTCATGGTCTTCCCTTTATGACTGCTTGCCCTGTGGACTTCAAGCTCCAGGATCAGATGTACAGACAATATCCTTACAGAGACTGCTCAGTCAACCCCACAATTGTTTAAGCCCATTCCATGTAACGTAACACATACACACCTATGTGCATGCGTGGCTGGTTCTGCTTCTTTAGTTGAACTCTAATTGATAGAATATACAACCTATTGTGTGGCAGGCATATGGATTATAATGTTAAGAACATAGCAGCTCTGGAATCAGAGGTGAGACTTTATTCTGACTTCATAATAATCCAGGATTCCATCTCTACCCTCAGTTTCTTCTTGTGTAAACTGGAGTTGGTTATAATACCTAACTATTGGGCTCACTGGGTATAATGAAATGAGTTCAAAGTGTCTAGTACAATCGGCTTGGCTGATGTTAATTTACTTCTCGCCTCCTATTCCAATGTGTGGGCTAGTGCCTAGTTCCTCTGACCCTTGATCTAGAACTCATTCCATTATACCATGTTGTCTCTGGTAACTATATTTCCCATACCTATTTTCATAAGTGACCCCATCTGGATAACAAATACCAACCACAAGCCCTTACCAAGCACTGTGCCATGACCAGCCCACAAAGCTCCGAGTCTCCTCTCAGAGTTTCTTCTTTACATGCCAAAGCCAGTCCTTCCTCCTCTTCCCCTATGGCAAACATTTCAAAGTGGATGCCATTAAAATGCATTAACAAGGAAGTCCTTATATGGCTAGAATCAAAAGAAATAATTCCTGCCTATGTGACCTGGGACCACCTTGATATACTGTAAACACCAAGTGAAAAAGAGAATCATTACCCTTAGAAACAGGCTAGAGCTGTGCTGTTTAATACAGTAGCCACCAGCCACACGTGGCTGTTGAGCACCTGAAACATGGCTAGCCTGAGCTGAGACACATAAGTGTAAAAGATACACTGGATTTCAAATGACTACTTCAAAGAAAAAAGAATACACAATATCACAATAATTTTGACATTGATTACATATTGGAACAATGTGGTTTTGGAAATATTGAGGAAAATATATTTAAAATTTAATTTCACTGATTTCTTTTTACATATTTAATGTGGCTACTAAAACATTTAAAATTACATATATGATCACGTTTTTGGCTCATGCCATATTCCTGCTGCAGAGGGCTGGTCTGGAGCCATGTGGGGAAAAAGGACTTTCATTTAGCGTGTTCGTCCCTGGCCCACACCAGTTTGCCGCACTGTCGGGCTGTCCCCGCTCCATCTGCTGTCATTTTTCTTCCTTGTTTGTAGCCAGAGGAAATATAGTTCTGAATTTGGGCTCAAAAGCAAGTAATGACTAACTTAAAAAAAAAGGATACAATATTAATTATTTTACGACATAGCTGTTGATAACACACTGGTTGAACAGACAGTGGTTCGGAGAGGCAAGAATAGTTAAAGATAAGTATACACGAAGAGAAGCTCAGAAGACTTCTGGTCCATCACTGTCACTACAACACTTCCTGGTAAGAGGGGAAGACTTTTCTTTTTTTTTTTTTTAAGATTTTGTTTATTTATTTTTAGATAGAGGGTAAGGGGTGAGAGAAAGGCAGGGAGAGAAACATCAGTGTGTGGTTGCCTCTCTCATGACCTCTACTGGGAACCTGGCCCACAACCCAGGCATGTGCCCTGACTGGGAACAAACTAGTGACCCCCTGGTTCACAGTCCAACACTCAATCCACTGAGCCACACCAGCCAGGGTGGCAAGACTTTTCTCAAATAAGCAAACATATTTATAGGTAATTAAATTCAGTGTTTTAAAACCCTTTATACAAATCTTCCTACATTTTCTGTATCTGAACAGAAACAACTGGGTCCAGTGTACCAATCCCTCTTCCCCCTAGAAAGGGATTATACAGGCAACACCTCTAGGTGGTGCTTCAGAGTGGGGCTTCAGTGACAGAGTGGTGACCCAGATGAAACCAACAGAAACGAACACCAAAGATACACAACCGAAAGAAATTTCGACATGTTATTTCAAATTGTTGTTCCTCTGAAACTTTTATTTCAAACCTCAAACACCACTGAGAGGGCCAATAACTCTCAGACATCTCTTAAAGTATCCATGTCTCCAGAAGTGATATTCAAAATATTAACCGGTACAACCCAGGTACTGATCTCTGAAAATGGGCACTGGCTGTGAACGATCTCTTTGGCCATCCTGGTGCAAAATGGGTGAATGCCACCCTTGTGTGGTTTCTTCCCACCCCTGACCCCAACTTAGGCCTGGTCACATGTCTCTCTCTCCTCAAACTCTCACCCACCTCCTTCAGTCCTGCCCTGGCCAGCCTCTCACACTGCCTCCACCCACTGACCCTTGCCTCCAGATTCTCTTTCACCGAATCCCAAGAAGCAGTTATACAATACAGAATACTACTTGGAGGGATCAGAGCAAAGAAACTGAATAAATAATTCCAGAAACTCGAGAGAACAATGAACTGGGTGCACAGGTTAACAAACGATTTTTATTTTGCCACACACAGGACTAGGAACCACAAGGTAGGGGTTACGGCACTGCACGTTGTATTCGACAACAGGGCTGCACGTGTTGAACGTGGGGAGCCCTTCAGACTTGTTTCTGGAAGGAAGACGTGGAGGGAGGAACAAAACAAGAGGAAAGGCCCTTCTGCTCTTGTATCAGCAAGATGTGACACATCTCACGAGAAGTGACACTCTGAGTTATTTAGGCTAGCATCAAATAGCACTCATTAGAAGATCAAAAAAAAATCACTGAAACTGATTTTTCTTTAATTCTAGTGAGACAGCCACAAGCTTTGGGCTCATAAAGTATTTTATTTTATTAGGAAAGTTTATAAAGACAGGCAAGGAATAAACTTTCATCTTCTGGATAATAAGGGGAATTGGAGAAGGAAGACAAATGTAGGATGTTTTGTCTGTTTAATATATTAAAGAAACTAACTAAAGGCACAAACTAAAGCCAACCATGAGATCGTGCTCACTAATTCTCATCATGCTTTCAGCTGCAAGAAGCAGACACTCCTAGTAAAAATGGCTGAAACAATGAGGCCAATTACACGAGAGGCTCCAGACGTGCTTGGGGAGCTCAGTGTTCTCAAGGAGCCAGGACCTCTCCATGTGTTTGCCCTGCCATCCTTGGAGTGTTCAGCCACGATTCACGAGGGCGGTAGCAAAGTTGCTATAGCAATTTTAGATGCCACAGATGGGCATGACCAAACCCAGAAACAAAGAAGGAAAAGTCTTTCCTTCCACGCATCTCTCTTTTCAGGGGAAGAAAACTTCTTCCCATAGATCCTCGGCAAACATTCACTCCTGCCCATTATCCACGATTACTGCCCTGGCTGCAAGACAGGTGGCAAAACGAATCTTGGCCACATTTGGCCTCCAGAGGTGGAAGGCAGGACGGTGGAAGGGGGTGCTGCAGTGGGAGGAAGGTTGGGGAGGCAATCTCATCCTCCAACCTTAGTAAAACCCAAATCCTCTATCATGGGATGGAGCCCACGGGGCTCGAGGTCCGGGTGCACGTGGCACCTTCACACCTCATTTTCTGTCCTCTTCCCTCTCTCCCCTCCCCCTCTCCCTATACCCTGTTGGCCAGCCCCTCCTCCCCATGTTGGTCTGTTCTACTCCTCCCTAGAACAAATTCAAAAGTTGCTTAGAACTGAAGGCAACCACTGGACTCAGACACTGCCTGAGAAATGCCCTGTTTAAGGCAAAATGTAAAAAAGGAAAAAGAGAAAGAAAAGAAATAAAAGACAAAATGAAGTCACAAATAAAAGAAATGCACCAGGATGGAAAGAGGGGAGATATGAGGAGGAGAGAGGCAGAAGGGCCAGACAAACTAAAGAAAGGAGCCATGTGGAAGGGGGCCAGGCCCTGACTGTGTCACTTTGAGCTAGTACTCACTCAACTTGGTCTCAAAACCCTTTCAACTTATTGCAAGATTTCAGCTCAAAACATGAATGGGCTCAGTCTCAGACGCCAGAAGGAAGGTCCACTGCTCATACCATGGGTGTTCCGGACTTCCCAGGGCTCCACACACCACAGTCTGGGGCCCTGAGAGCT